TATGGTTTACAACTCATTTTATCAATATAAAGTTAGGGTGTTTTTGTGTTTGTATAAATGTGTGTGAGCTGGACAGAATAGTATGAGAAAAATGATTTTTGGCTTTTCTTTGCTTTCTCCTTTTTTTTTCCTCCTCAAAATTCCCCTCTGTTTGTGTGTGTGTGGTACAACCATCTATTTATAGATAAAATAATTTATCTTTTTCCTTCCAATTGCTTGGTCCCCAAGCAATTAAAAAAATTACTTTAGTCCCCCATTTTTCCTCCTTTACTTTTTGGTCTCTTTGTCTAAATATATTTTTATATTCTTATTTTTTTGTATTTTGATATCCTTGAAAAACAAAATGCAATATCAATGTCAACTGATCAATGATTTTAAAATAAGCATGTAAAAAACTAAACGCGTTGAAAATAAATTTTTAATTGTTTTTTAGAAGACTATGAAAATGCCAAAAACAACGCAAATACATAAAACTATAGATTTTTGGATTTTTTATTATTGTTTGCTACTTTTTGGATTTAAAAAAAAACAAGAAAAGAGGGTAAAAAAATCGAATTATGACATCTAGAATAGGTCGTGTATGTGTCTATATATATATATATATATATATATATATATATATCTAGGTTGTTGATCTATTTTTTGAGTGAGGGTTGATCTATTTTTTCTTTTCGCCTCTCTTCATCAAGGTACCAAATTCAAGTGTATATAGTACGATGTCCTCAAATGGACTCGTCAGGATTTGTATAGAAGTACAAAGTTTCTTACTATTTTGTTACAAGCTTGTCATTATATCCAAGTTATAAAATTAATGATTTGTATGTCATACTTAGAAAGGAAGCGTTATCAGACATTGACCAAAACAAAAGAAACAAATGTAGTTAACAATTCGTAATTAGGCTTGGTGATGAATTTAGATAGCAAAATGACATAAAAAATCTTTTGACCCTTCCATTATTCACCAAAATATAGTTTAGTTATGTTCATCCATTTGATGTAATTTACAAGAATAGCATTAGGTCACATTAGAATCAATTGTTTTCCAAATATTTAGGTTTATAAGGTTGTCATGTAATAAAAGCCTTGTTCTTTCAATGTCTAATACAAAGTGGTGTTCCTTTTTCTATTTTTTTCTTTTAAAGCATAATTTTATATAAATGGGTCAAGGCACTCTCCTTTTGTGTTTCATATAACATTGATTGTGGATCAATTGACATGGGGTAAATAATTTACATGATTTTAAAGATGGGTGTAGATTTTAAAGTAACAAATGTTGATGTTGACATTTTAGTATTTTTTGGGAAAAAGAAAAAAGGTTTAGGGTTATTGATTCTTTCCTTTACAAAAAAAAAATTGAACTTGTTTAAATAAGAATTTGGGTTACTTTGTATGAAAGATGATTGATTAAGTGTAATTAATAAAATCCTAAATGTCATGCTTAAAGGAAAAAACATTTGTAATTTCTGAAAAACAATAAGTGGTTGACATGTTAGACACATTTAAAAGCATGATTGACATTTCTGGGCACATAATGTCATTCACCATGCCATTGATGGTCAATTCAATTGATCAATTTCAATACAAATAAGACAAGTGAGCATTCATTTATTCTAGAAACAAATAAATATGAAAGGTATTGTTACTCCAAAAATAAATATTGATGTGTCAAGTTTGTAAATTAAATGTCCATAACCAAACAAGAGAGGAAAGATGAAATTGACCATGAATAGTAAAGTTGACTAGGTTTAGAAAAGTCATGAATAACTAGGAGTCATGATTTAATCAATCATATGAGTTTGAGTTTGCACAATCGATGAAAAGATTTAATCCTACTTAAAACAAGGGTTTTTAATAGATTAAACTAGTTAGAATTGTAAATTAGTTAAAATTCATATAATTATTGGCAAGAAAAAAGTTTAGATTGTATTAAGATTCAATTTGCTCTTTAGTATAAATAATCTATATAGGTTTACAATTAGATGTTTATATAAAACTCAAATATTGCACCAATATAAATAGGCTATCTAGTATCTGAAAAAGATGGCTAGCCACTTATGCAATTTTTTAATGTAATTTTATTCAATTTATCTTTTTTATTATTTGTTTTATTTTATTTTAGAAGCATTCTTTTACCTTTTTGCTTTTCTTGTATTCTTTTATATTTTTTTCTTGGCATTATTTTAAATATACATGGCTTTATCCTTTGACAAATAAATCTTAATGTTTATTCTATCTTCTTACAATTCCAAAAATTAATTAAAATCTTTTATTTTTTTATTATAAAGTAAAAAAAAGGTTTTATGTGATTGGAAAAAAAAGTTTTACAAAACAAATAATTTTTATAATATTTTTTTTTATAAAAACTAAGAGACTATAACCACTAAACCAAAATCTTATTGATTGACACTTGTTAAGCAACAATAATAAGGAGAGTTATGGTAAATTATGTTTTGAAAATGTATTTGCTAGAGTCTCTAGTTCACCATCAACTTATTATGGGCCTTTTCCTAGTTCTTTGGCATATTTGATCTTGTGATCATAAAAACATGATTTATAAAGCAAAGAGCCAACTTATAAAAGATTGAGTTAAATTGTTGGATTGTGGGTTAAATCTTTTTAAATAATTGGGTTTCTTAATAAAAATAATTCTGGGTTTCTTAATAAAAGTCATCCTAATTCAAGTAATAGAATATAAAAAGTAAGAACTTTCATGGTCATTAAAACCCTTTGAGTCAAATTGAATTCACATATATAAATTAATTTATATGTTTGGAATCTGTTTAAAAATATTGATTTGAATTCTAAATAAAATTCAATTTATATAAAATGACCAAAAACAAATTAGATGGGAGACCTTTGATTTGCTATAAGAATTCAATTTCAACTAGTATTGAAAATTATTTTTCAAAAATACCTTCTTTTTTTAATTCTAAAAACCTTACAAAATAACTTTTCATTCTTTGCCAAAACCTCCCACTCTCTTCTTTGTCTTTGTACCCAAAGCCAACCAAATCTTGCTTTCAAGATCATATATCATCTGGTAGCTTCTTGTAAAGAATGTGATGTGATCCGATTTGATCCATTTGGCATTAGCAATGTTATAAACTTGATATGAGCAACATAATCACCTTTAATATTACTAACTAAAGTCTCAAAATAAGTATATAGTGATAAAAAAAAACTTATAAAAATACAAAAGATGTAATAAAATAAATAAAATATAAAACATCTTTATCGGGCTTCTTATAAAGAATATGATAGGATTGCAGAAAATTATAATTCACACATTAATCTAAGTCCAATTAAGACCTTTACTCTTTAAAGGCTTTATCATAAAGAAAATTTAAATAATAACCTAAATTAAAGAAAAAGAGCTTTGAAATAGTTGAGTTACAATATAAACATATAAACCTTATAGTGAATGACATGATAGGAAACTTTTGATTAATTTCACCTAAACTAAACCTAGAAGATTTCATTTTTGTATTCAACTCTCTGGTAGTGTTTTTCTTATCCAACAACTTTGGCCACAAAATCAATAAAACATAAATATAAGCATTTAAAAGCAAAATAATTAATAACAATATTATACAAGTTGATTCAAGAGTAACTCAATTATTCCTATGCCTCCCCCGGTATTTGTGAATATCCACAAACTTATTTATAAAATTATCAAAAATTTATTTTGAAGGTAAAATTTATTATTGCATGATTTGTATGATGATATATTTTGAATCATTAGAACTAAGAATTATAGTGTCTTTATGAATTATTAATATTGTCAAAATCATGTTAGGCTTTAATGGTCATTAATTTTAGGACCCGTAAGATTAATTAAGATATGCGCAAACTAGCCCGAATACTAATATTAATCTAAAATAAATAAAAAAAATCATGTTAGGCATTGATTTATCTACTTTATATTTATTTTTTTAAATTTGATTTAAGTAAAATGTTAAAATTTTCATTGAAATATTTGTAGAATTCTTTTTCTTGACATTCTAATGAAAAGATTAATTTGGTCGAAATTATTTTTTTAAATAAATATATATTTTATGAATTTTTTTTAAAAACTATTTAATAGAAAGTTAATATGAGACAAGCCTATTTATATATTCTTTAAAATATCTATATTTTATATCATTTTAAATAAATACAATGGTCCTTGTGATATTTTTTTTTATTTTTGTAAAAAGAAAAATAATTTCTAAATTAAAAGTAAAATAATCATAAATGAGTTCTTTGAAGAAAATTATCTGACAGCCAGTACATTAAAAAATGGTTTTTTTGGGGTAATGACACCCATGTGGCAAAACTGATTCCCTCCGTCGTTGAGACATTCCCTTTCCCCTCAAGCCCAAGTTCTATATTTAGCCATCCAATCAATAACATGATCCATCCTTTTAACCAGCTATCTGTATGGATTACTCATCTTTCACACCAACAAACATTATAAATCATCATGGTCATGATTAATGATGAAGATAGCAGGGTTTATGTGATCATCTCCAAATCCAAGACAAGGAGAAAAAGAAAGGAAAACCAACACAACAAAAACAAAAGCAATTACATTAACACGTTAGAACTAATCTTCTGTTCCCTGGAGACCCAAGACAAGAACTAATCTAAATTGAGCACAAAAGCAAAAGCAATACTACCTCCATACATGCTCAGGAGGGAAAAAAAGAAGTTGATACATAAATGTTTAATGTTTGTTCCCTGGAGTATATGTCTTTCAGAACACGTAAACAAGTTAAATGCTTGGTGGTTCTTTTAATATACGAGGATCTTGTGGGCAAAAAGTCGTATACACAACACACATTGTTTTTTTAATGATTTGGAAAAGTTATCCAATCAAATGTTAAACAAAATAAACAAACCACCCATTTATTTCTTTTTTAGACATTTTCTTCCTGCTAGTTTTTGTTTTGACTTGATTTGCTTTTGCTTTTGAAAAATGAAAAAATGTAAAGGTAAATAAAAAGATTTTGATTGAATTTTAATGAAAACATTTCCTATTTCCTATTCTAATTTATTTATTGGGATTGATTTTTATTTATTTATTTATTCTTCGTTGGTTCGGTGCGTGAGGCGGCCAAAGAAGAGATTTTTAATTATAGAAAGGAAAAAAAAGATGTCCCTTCGTGAGAGATTATTTCTCTAATATAGTATCACAACTCCAATCCAGAGTTCCTTTTTGTTGTTCGATTATCTTCCTCTGCTGGGTTCTCTCTTTTTTCCTTCTAATTCCTCAGTTTTGCTATCTGTTTTGCTCGGTTTCTTGTCTTTCTCATCTGGGTTGCTGAGTTTCAATTTGGAGTGTTTTTAGGTTTGGTTTTGAGCGTTTCACACGAGAATTTGGGGCTTTTTGGTGATTTGCTAAGTTGGGATCCATAGATTTGTAGCAAAGTTTAGGGTTTTGCTCTTTGATTGGATTGTGTAGAGGTTTCTAGGTTTAAGGAGGCATTGCGTAATTGCTCCTGCTCTAGGGGAAAGCGATTTAGTTGTCGATTTTTTCAAACATATATTGAGGGGTCTTGGCATGTATGCATGATGTTTCATGCTCAAGGTCCTTTAAGGAATCATTGTACTCTCCTTGCTGTTCTTTGTGGTAAAAGTGGTGAGCAGAAACTGCCTCTCTCTGATGATAAACCCAGATACCCTTTACCGGAACTTGCATCTACTGGGCGGCTTCAGGTATGTTTTAAAATTTTTGGGCTATAAATCAGCGTTTCTGGTTATGGGTTTTCTGAGTTTTAGTTCAATTTTATGTGTGAAGATTTGATGTTTGTTACTGTTTTTGTTTGAATGCAGGTTCAGGTACTGAATAATCCGAGCACTGATGAGTTTCGGCAAGTGCTGCAGTCTCTGGAGGCCAGCATTGTGTATTTTCAAGGTGAGCAGGTTGAAGATAGAGAAGAAATTGGATCTCTAAGATGGGCAGATGTTGATTTGTCCACTCCAGAATCCTTATGTGGATTATTTGGTTCCACGTTGCCTCCCACGGTGAGTGATGGTCATCAAGATGTTATTATACTTTTTGCTTCTTGCTTATAATGTCAGTGACATGAACTCCATTGTCGATCTTCCAGTCCTGTCACATATAAATGTGCAGCTTGCAACATTAATCATAGCATTTCACTGAATCTACCTTCAAACGTATGTACAGGTTTATTTAGAGATCCCCAATGGTGAAAAGATGGCCGAGGCGCTTCACTCCAAGGTTATATTAATTGTCAATAGTTCTGTATTTCTTTTTCTTGTTTTAAGTTATTGATATTATTGTTTCTTTGGGGAAAGATGTATGCTGATTTTTTTTTTGATGGAGTTACTGGTTAAGCTAATTATAAATATTTAAAGAGATGGTGCATGGAATTTGAAGACCTGTATATATGTATATGCATGTATGTATCTATTGTTTGTCTGATCTCTTCTCATGAATTATTGTTGAACCAGTGTTTTCATGTGGCAGGGAGTTCCATATGTTATATATTGGAAAAGTGCCTTTTCATGTTATGCTGCTTCTCACTTTCGGCAAGCATTGTTGTCAGTGGTTCAAAGGTATGCTTGTCTTCTTTTACATCAAGATTATCATGGTACAGTCACCTTTTCTAACATGTGTTGTTCTTTTAGTTCCATCTTTATCCTTAATTGTTTTGATGCTCTATCTAACATGTGGTCTGGTAGTTATTGCTTATGGATCCAAGTTTTGAAGCAGTGACAAATTGGTAATTGTGGAAGTATTTGTTTGGGTGCAAATTATTTTCCCATGATGAGATTGTGGACCAGATGTTGAGCTTCACATGTTGAAAACATGCTTGGCTGGTGTTGACCAGATGTTGAGCTTTACATATTTTGACAATTTGTTTGTCTGGACTAATTATCCCTGACAGAGTAGTGGAATGTGCTTTTCTTTATTTTGTGAAAATAGTAAATAAATGAATATTTCATATCCTCTTTTGTGTTCTCTTGTGCATTGCAGTTCTTGCAGCCATACATGTGATGCATTCCAACTTGCTCATGCATCTTTTAGACTCTACTGTGTACAGAACAACAATACCCGAGCTTCCAATAGCCAAAAAGTTGGTGGTAAACCCGGACCGCGGTTACTTGGGGATCCTCCGAAGTTTGATATTTCTCTCCCTGAGGCAGATGATCAGGGTGAAGAGGGCTCTTCTGGGGCTCTTCCTGCTATAAAAATATATGATGATGATGTGACCATGAGGTTTCTTGTTTGTGGACTGACAGGCACATTGGTATGTTTTGATTTACATATTTCTGAGTATTTATTCACTTGTTGCTTGGTTGAATAAATCATGGTAGCATTCACTGGTTACAATCTTCACTCTCTTCAGGATGCATGTGCGCTGGGATCTTTGGAGGATGGGCTCAATGCTCTCCTGAACATTGAAGTGAGTTCAGTGCTGGCTTTTGTATTTATTTCTCGAGTTCCTCAGTTTCTAGTTAGTAAGCATCTCTTTGGTCTACATTATTAAACCACGAAGATGCCAAGGATATTACATGTGATATCATTATTCCCATTTTTTTCTCTCTCCAGATAAATGCATCTTTTACTTGTCATCAGAACAATCTTAGATATTCATGGAATTTTCATATCTAAATTTATGAGACATGATAAATACCATACTTCTTCACCCAGTCCAAATAGAATTGAAATGTCAAAATCACTAAATTAGAAGTATTAAATGTTTTAGGTTTTAGCTGAGATTTATGTCACCTTTATGAGGGCAAGTATATTGGTTGGTTATCCATTCTATTGTTGAGTATGAAAGTGTAACAAGATTCATTGCAATCTATGTTTTTTAATCAGTTATCTCTTAAATGCTATATGTTATACAGGAAATATGCTTTTATATTTTCTATTTATACTTAAATGCTATCACTAATTTATATTTCTTCATTTGAGTTATCTCTTCTATTTTGTATTAAGCAACTTCCTATTTATTTATTATTTTGCAACGGTGTGCATTCAGATTCGTGGGAGTAAACTTCATAATCGCACAAGGTATGAATTTTTCCTAGTTGCTTGTTTCTTTGCCCTTTTATTTTATATTGCTACTGACATACTAGACTTATGAATTTACATATTCATGCATAAACATGTGGACACATGTGCCATTTTAAGCTTAATGTGACATTAATTGTGACTTATTCTAAATTATTGTTGCGATCAACATAGTGCACCTTCTATGTTATTAAATGTCTTTTAGTCTCACGGCTTTCTGTTTCTATTAGCTCACAAATCTCACTATCATTTGCAGTGCTCCTCCTCCCCCCCTTCAGGCAGGGACATTTTCTCGTGGTGTAGTGACAATGCGATGTGATTTATCAACCTGTAGTTCTGCTCACATATCACTACTAGTGTCTGGCAGTGCACAAAATTGTTTTAATGATCAGGTAAAGATAAAATTTCTTCTCTGCAAGGGTTGATAGTGTGCTTGCTTGTATGGTCTCTCTGAAGTTCTTATACTCACCCGATAACTTGTGGTCCTTTCTTTTTTTGGTTGGGTGCTGTTGCCTCGCCTCAGCTTTTAGAGAATCATATTAAAAGTGAGCTTATTGAGAACAGTCAGCTAGTCCATGCATTGACTAGCTTTGAGGAAAGCAAATCACCTTCATCTGAGCCACGAAAGTCTGCATCCATAGCCTGTGGGGCAAGTGTTTTTGAAGTTTCCATGAAGGTTCCTACTTGGGCATCACAGGTAACATTGTCTCACAGCCTTCCTATCTGTTCCTATCTTTGAAAAAAAAAAGTCAAATTTCTGATGTAGATAATTCATCTGATGGATGAAGAAAAGAAGTTGCATTAATACATTCCTTGGATAAGTGATTAAGCTGTTGCTTAGAGTAACTGATGGATAGCTGTTTGGTTACAGTTACCTCCACAAATTTTTGTTCAAGTCTTTTGGTGAGGTACACTGATCAAGCAATATGAGTTCTTATAGCCTTGTCTCATGGAATGCCATTGCAGGTTTTGCGGCAGCTGGCCCCAGATGTAACCTACCGCAGCTTAGTCATGCTAGGAATTGCTAGCATTCAAGGACTGTCAGTTGCTTCTTTTGAAAAAGATGATGCTGATCGCCTCCTTTTCTTCTGTACAAAGCAGAGCAAAGATCCCCATCCACACAACCCTGTTCTCACTAGGCATCCTAGCTGGTTGATTCCTCCTGCCCCTTGTCGAAAAAGATCTGAGCCTTCCCGAGAAACTAAACCCTTGACTTTTGGCTGTGGAGGTGAAAATGGAGGGAATTTTAAACAGAAGTTGTATGTTGCTGCAATGAGGCCAATACCTCACACTCGTCGTCATAAAATGCAACCATTTTCTGGATTTTTGGAGGCAGAAAGATATGATGGAGAACAAACAAAACCAAGCTTGCCGCCTCCACCAAAGCATAGTGTTGTTGGGCCTGCACCTGTCACGCATCGAAAATCATTGTCAAACTCTTATCAGGCTCAGCAGATTATTTCTCTAAATCCACTGCCTTTGAAGAAACATGGTTGTGGCAGATCTCCAATACATGCTTGCCCTGAGGTAGATGTCATTTTTTAATTCACAAATTCTGTTTTTTTTTTTTTTTTTTTGTTTTCTTTGCTTACAATGCTTTTATGAATTTTATATGCTTAGGAATGGTTTCATTTTTATCTTAATTTGTAGATTGCTTATCCAGTCATTTGTTTCTTGAGATTGTAACTTAGACATCCATGCAGGATTTGATGTGTAATATGTTTTGATGTTATGTGTTTTTAAGTGTTGTACCTCAGAGATATGGATGGTCCTGGGATTTTGATGCGTGGCTAGTTTAAGTACTGTCAATAGCCTGGTGTGTAATTTCTTTTTTTTTTTTTTTTTTGAACAGAACTTCTATGATGTTTGGTGACTAGCCAAGCAGTCACTGACCATCTTTCTGTGCTATTAAATTTACTCCATTAAACAAGTTTGTTACGATACTTGAAAGTTTCTGCTTCATATGTACAAACTATTCTGATAATCCAATGCAACACATTTATCATCTTGGATCTGAGAGTTAGATTTCCTATAATCCTATTATATCTTGTGGTTTATATGCAGATTTTTGATATCATAATCATTTTTTAAACATCTTTCTGCTTTGTTTTATTTTCTGGCAGGAGGAATTCTTGAGGGATGTAATGCAGTTCTTGATTCTTCGTGGTCATTCTCGTCTTGTTCCTCAAGGTGGACTGGCTGAATTTCCTGATGCTATTCTCAATGCAAAACGCCTTGACCTGTTTAACTTGTATAGAGAGGTGAGCCTTTTTATATGCTACATTATGATTCAAATCTGCAAAGGTTGTAGTGCTGAAAGCTGAGAAATACTGGGTTCTCAGGTGGTTTCAAGAGGAGGTTTTCATGTTGGGAATGGAATCAACTGGAAAGGACAAGTTTTCTCAAAGATGCGCAATCATACATTGACTAATAGAATGACTGTAAGTTTTCCAACTTCTAATTCTTCTTATTTTTTTTTGTGGTTTTTACAATGTTGTCAAGAGGTGCTGAGGCACTTGCCTAGGTGCTCCAGGCAAGGTGAGGCCCCAGTACCTTTATTAGCCTTAGGCATTGGATTGCAATGAAGCACCGCCTAGGCGAGCGCCTTTTGAGTGGGTGCGAGGCATTAAGGCTAGTGCTTGCTTGAAGTTCTTTTTTTTGATGGATTTTTCCTTTTTTTTTTTAACTGTTTTATGTTTTGACCTATTTTTCTCCTTTTTTTTTAACTGATTTGTGTTTTGTCCTATTTGTCCTTTTTTTTAATTGATATTTAATTTTTCTTTTTAATCTATTTGGCTATTTGCTACTGTAAATTTTCTTATTTTTTTAAAGGGTGAAAAATATAACTTTATATGACCATGTTATGGTATTTTATATTTTCTAATGATCTAATCTTAATTGGGAAGATGTATATATTAAATTTTTATAATATAATATAATATTACATTTTTTTTTTTAATTTATAGCATATCGCCTTGGTTCATTTGGGCAAGTGCCTAGTGCCTTGGGCATTTTACAAGCTTGGCTCTTTTTAAGCCCCTTTCACCTTTGACAACACTGGGTTTTTGAGATGTCTTATGTTGGTTGAGTGCTTTAAAGTTGGCCACAATATTGGTGAGGTGGACCTGAATTGCGTATGCTGTGACTATGCTAAAAAGTTACAGCTAAGCAGTGCAGAACCACCTTTTTCTGTTGAACTTTGGAACCTTTGGGATGTATGTATCCATCTCTAATATATGGTGCCTTTTGGTGTTATTTGCTGTAGATTTTAACATAATTTAATTGTTTATTAAATGTTTTCTGTTTGATATTTCAATTTTGTTACATTTTCTTGTTTGTTTAGCTAACATCTTGATTCTGGTAACATGCTCTGTCGCTTTGCCCCCAAGCTTTGTTCATGCTGCCTTGTAATTTATTTTCTTCAATAACTACATTTACATGCCGTTGTACTAAAAGATCAGTAGTGAGTCTGTCTGATATTATTCCATTTTTTAAAGTAGAAGTATTTCATTCTTGATAAATAAATAAAATCATTTCTGCTCCCTTCTATTTACGTGCATTTTCTGCACTAGTTTCTTTTTTCCTGTGTTTTAAATTTTTGCTAGACATTCTTGTCTGATGTGATCTTATTAGCTCCCTTGTTCATTATCGTTTGCTTCTCCAATTGTAAAACTTTGCCTTGCCCATATTTGTTTTAGCCTTTTGCTCCAATAAACTGAGTATATTCATTATAACTGGTATGCTAGTCAAAATGGTACTTAAATTTAGATGACTAGTAAGCAAAGCTGAGTTTATGAAGCAGAGGGTCAACAATGCTGGGCTATATAGACTTCATTATTTTGGTACCTACTGAGTCATCTTTTATTATGAAATCTCTGTGTGTATATAGTTTATAGGTATGAAAGTAACATATACATCCTTCACATCATATTTCCTCTTGTGGATGACCAAATCAGAATGCCTGTAATACTGATGGGAATGGGCTTTCACCACATAATTTATAGTAAATGAACTTCAGCTGAAAGTTCTTCTGGTGGTTCCATAAATTTATTCTGTGCATGATCATTTTTTGCTTTCTATGTCTCATGATTTCTGCTTTGTACAGTGTTGAACTGCTTATTGTGTACAAGTTGGAGTAACTTCCTGTTTTTGCTCCATGCTTAATAGGGTGTTGGCAATACACTGAAAAGGCACTATGAGACTTACCTTTTGGAATATGAATTGGCCCATGATGATGTAGATGGAGAATGTTGCTTGTTGTGTCACAGGTCTCTCTCTCTCTCACTCACCCTCTCCCTGCATGCATGTGTGCTTGCATTAGCACTTGAAAATACGATGTACTGACACTAGAGTTATCATATTCACAGTAGTGCAGCTGGTGATTGGGTTAATTGTGGAATATGTGGCGAGTGGGCTCACTTCGGCTGTGATAGGAGGCAGGGACTCGGTGCCTTCAAGGTATGCAATTGATCAAGCTTCTTTGATGATTAGAATTGTTGCTTGAAATTAAGTGTTCCAAATCTATTTGATGATTAGAATTGTGCTTGAAATTAAGTGTTTCAAATATATTACTTGAAGCAAATAGAAGTTGTTGATTGAAACTAAGGCTATGATTGAACTTGGGACCTGGTCTTGTTGTAAAAGATATATATCTTTTACTTATGTAACATAGGTCATCATCGGTTGAAAGAACGAACTGGCAGTCTTAAAAAAAGAATTGAGCATCCATTGTTTAGATTGATTGATCGAAAAGCTTCAGGACTGTTATTTTTATTTGTTTTTGTTCACATGAAATGCAAATTGTCGAACAGATATTAAATTTTTCTTGATGGTTTTTGGTGGTGAATGGCAGGACTATGCCAAGACAGACGGGCTGGAATATATTTGTCCTCACTGCAGCATCGCAAATTTCAAGAAAAAATCCCAGAAAAATGCAAATGGATATTAGCAAGCTGGCCTGAATTCCCAGTATCTCTTTCTTCTTTTTCGGTGGTTTCTTCTCCCTCAACATAAATGCATGAGATAAAAGAGTAGGAGGAATGTAATTATAGTAGTGTTATCTAGCCCATTGTTGTTTCCATACAAGATTAAGCCATCAAGAAGCCAACCCAATTTTCCCCCACGCTTGTCACGTGCTCTGGAAAGGCCAATAAACTAGTTGCAGAGTATACGTCTCTTCTTTCTATTTTTAGCTGAAATTTAATTTGAGCAGGTAGTTCTGTTGAATATTTGAATTTAAACGCTACAAAGACCTTCTCTTTGGGCCGTTCCTTCTAAACTTTGCGAACTGTAATGGGGATCCGCCCGGCCATCAATCATCCTGCAGAGTCATAAAGCGCTCGGCGTGGAATCCCGATCAACTCCTGACTTCATACTTAGCCGTTTTGTTTATTAGGGTAATGCGCCTATGTTTTAATCTTGCAGCCTGTAGGCATTGTTTAATATTAGTAATCTATTTTTTTTACGAGGTATTTTATCGGGATTTGGACAATGAATACCTTTTAATTTAGATTTGATGTATCTTGTTAATAAGTAAGATACTAAATATTTTTAATGCCCTAAAATTCCCTTTTATTTCTACTTTGGATGGATGAAACATCCACTAAACGAAAGGGTTGTTGAGGGACGAGTGTTTCCCTACACGTTTGGGGGAACACTATAGATTCAGTGTTTTCCCTTCTATTTTTTTGATTTGATTCTTTTTTTTTTGTTAGTTTTTTGGTTATTGTTTTTTTTTCTTTTTAATTTTATCTGTTCTATATTAATTAGGATTTGGGGTTTATAATTTATATTTATTTATTTTTATGTGGTCATCTTGAGATGCTTGATTTCATGAAAAAAAAAAAAAAGGATTTTATTGTTAGCTAGAGATTGAAAAGGAGGGAATCAAAAAGAAAAAGATAATGTCCTTTTTTTATATAAAAAATAGGGTGTTAGTTTTGATTTTTTTTTTCTTTTTTGCCTTGGTTAAATTTATTTTTAATTTCATCTTTTAATATTATGTTGATTGAAATTTAAAGTTAATAACTTGTTTCACTATATTTTTTATATATGTTTTCTTGATCTAAAAAAAAAATCTTGACAATGGGTTGATACTTTATTTCATTAAAAAGAATTGGATTTTATTAGTTGTTAAAAAATTAAAAATTAAAATTAAAATTAAAATAAAAAAATAGCATTACCTAAAACCAAAATCGGTCACCTTGTTCCTTTACTCTGTCTCTCCTCTCTATTATTTTCCTCTATGCTTCATTGTTCATATTTGTTAAGGTCTTGTTCCATGCTTTTCAGATCTCTTATTGAAGGCATGCCTCCTTTTACTTTTACTTTTAATTTTTTATTATTTTTCTTTCTATTTTTCATTTAATTTTGGAATTGTTATATAATTTTTCATGCACATGTAACCGAAAAAGATTATTATGCTAAACCAGTAAAAGGTTATTTTGTGTTTTTCTTGATATTGGTCTTGTGAGAACAACAATTGAAAATTAGATTAGGTTATTTATTGAAGATATTGAATATAAAAATACCAAGCATTTAATGGATGGTGAAGATCTATGTAAACTATTTATAATTGGTTTCCTCTTGTTCAAATAATAATGTTTTGATGGTTTTATATTTCAATAATAGATATCTTAGATCTTCTTTTTGTTTGTTTTTTTTTCCCTAGACAAATGACTTCTTTTCTTTCCTTTTGTTTTGTGTATCTTTTTACAAAGTTTAATTTTTAGCTAAGGATCTAATAAAAAAAAAAAATTGAAGTTGAATTTCTGGATATCATGCATACCTAAACGATTAAGAAAGAGCAATGCTTGTTGAGAAAGCTAAGATTTTTCATGAAATAGACATGAAGTTGTGAAAATAGAAACATGACACAAATAGAATTCCTTAAAAATATGGCTAGTGAAAAAACCCATAAAAAAGCTTAATTGAAATAATTTTGATTTAAACTGATTTTGAAGGAAAAAAACTGAACTGAATATGATTAGTTTGAACTGGTTTTTAGTTTAATTCGGTTCAAAAACTTGAAAAAAAATAATTTTAGTTTAATTATTTATATTGATCTATAACCAAATCGAACTGAAAATGCTTATCCCTACTCAATTCTTAAAAAGAGAAAAATATGCTAAAAACCAATAGATAAAAGAGAAAAAGGTAGGTTGGTTAGAATTCAATAACAAAAATATTTAAATTTAGTGTAAAAATACTTCATTTAATAAGAGGAGTTCCATTAAGGAGGTGTAGAGTTTTGAAGTTGTTGGAAGAGGTATATTGGAGTTGAGAAATATTTTTTCACTATTTAATTGTGTTTTTAAATGATTTTTGGATTTTTTTTAGTTGATAAATTATTTTTTTAGGGTCATAAAAGTGTTTCTCTAGTGCTCTATAAGAAAATAAATTAAAAATTAGATTTTTAAATAAAAAATATGCATCTTAATTTTCAAGCGACCTTTTGATTTGTAAATAACATATTGGCTGTCCATTTATATAATAATAAAAAATATTAGGTGCACCAACCTATTTTAGCAAGCTCATACGCCATATGCCTAAATAAAAAATATTAGGTGCACCAACCTATTTTATCAAGCTCATACGCCTTCATTCGGTTAGGCATGTTGGGCCTCCTAGCTCGTATTTGTTTGCTTTTTATTACCATTAGAATTTTAGTTTATTTTCCAATAAAACTATAGTTATTTTTTATTTAAATCTTAGCTAATGTTCTTTATGTACCCCGACACACATATCAAGCATTTAACTTTGTTATCATATAATATAATATAATTAAATAAAAACCTAAACGAGTTTCTTTCTGCATGGAGGTTAAGTTTACGACGACAGAAACCGCGAAGGAAACTTGTTCAGGAGAGCCACCTGACATCATAGGTTGGTGCCAACGGGTATAGGAAGCATGAGAAATACCACGAAGTGTAGATGTCATTCCGTGACAAGGAGCTAGGAACGAAAGCTCCTCCACCACCACGGGAAATAGTGGATCTGCTGGCGAATCAACTGATTCGTCTTGAATATGAAAACAGAAATCGATTACTTCCAAAGATTTTCCTAGATAATGAAACTTTCATCGATCCATGTTACCCTTGGAGGGACTCACAGTGAAGCTATTAGGTAAACATGTTGGCTATACTCAAATGAACGTTCGGTTGATCAGGAACTTGTGGAAGCCGGCTGGTGGTTTTGAACTCATGGATACTTCATGGTGAAATTTGATCAGGAAAGCAACAGGCTGAAGGTAGTGAATGGAGGTCCTTGGATGATCTACGATCATTATTTAATGGTGCGAACCTGGTCCTCGAATTTTGTTTCCTCTGCAGCCAAAATTGATCGTACATCAGTGTGGGCGCGCATAACGGACCTGAATGTTGTGTTCAATGGTGAAAGCCTTCATTTGTCTGCGGAATCTACACTAGGGACACCTATTAAGATTGACAAGAACTCGTTGAATGCGGTAAGAGGATGGTTTACGAGAATTTGCACCGAAATTTCTCCAATCAAGCAGTAGTAGATAGGGTGTGGATTCGGGATCACTGGTATAAAGTGGAATATATATGAAGTTCTACATATTATATGTGAAGAATATGGGTGCTATGGTCATCATGGAAGGGACCGCCTTTTAACAACCACTGGTCAGGAGACCTCGCTAGAGCCTGATCGTGTTTCTGCAGGTATGGCGGTAGACAGTACCGGAAATTAACCCCAGCAACAATCCCTACTTTTATGGTCGGCACATGCAATCCCATAACTCCAGGCCTTCAGGTTACTAATTATTGCGGGATTCACGGAGATTGGTTGGCAGTGAATCGTAACAGAAAACCGCGGTGCTGCAGACCAGATTAACAAGAGGCATTGTAAAGAGCTGATCCGCACGTACCATCCAAGCATTAGTGCTTCTGGAAACTCATGTTCGATTTGACAGGGTGGCTGTTTTCTGGAAGAAGCAAGGGTTTAGAGCAGTAGCGATATATAGTAGTTGAAGCCAATGGACATGCAAGTGGGATATGGATTTTGACTAATGGCAGATATTGCAGCTTGATGGATTTTGGGTGCTGTAGGTCACAAATTCACTTGGCATGGGCATGTTGAGAATTCCGACCGGTGATGTACTAATACTTGCTCATAGGAGGGCCAAGCACACTGACACAATATTTAACGTGGTTCGGCAAAATCGCCTACATCCACGGGAGAAGTCAATATATTTAGAGATAGAGAAAGAATACAAAACAAATACATGGAGGAGGAGGATTACACCCTCTCATACTCAACTCTCAACTCTCTTTGCTGCACTTGCAGCT